TACAGAAACTACACTAAATCACAATATGATTTGACCATAAATGGACAAGGAATTACAAACAAGGCACACCCAGAAATAAAGCCACACCTCCCTCAATATATCGGAGAAACTCAACAGGAAAAGAGACGCAGACCAAAGCACGGAGAGAACAAGTGGATGAGAGAATTGAGGAGCAGCTCAACTGATGATGAGGATACTCTACTCTATAAACTATTAGGACTAAACATATCCCACAAACCACACCCAATGGACACGCCTACTAATGACACGCCTTCTCTTGAGACTCCGCCCAAAATATACTTAACATACGAACAGACAAGCTCACCTTCGCTCATATTCTCACCCGAAACTACACCCTCTTTGGAAACCCCGCCCAACTTTGAAACCCCACCCACTTTTGAGACCCCGCCCTTTGGAATGGCCACACCTCCTTTTGATTATAACTACAAGAGTTCAATACCCAAACTACCTCAAATAAGAAGAGGAGAAGGAGGAGAGAGAATGAGTGGAAGAAGAATAGGAGGGAGAGAGCAGGTGGTTAACATACCCACTAATAATGGCGGAATTAAAGACATGTACATGTACAAGAGGGGGAGGGTAGCTAGTGACAGAAGTAGGAGTGGTCAATACAATGAGGGATATCATGAGACTGGACTAGACTACAGTGGGAGAACATGTAATGAACGATACAACAACACTGGAATATACAGTGGACCGTACAGTGACAATGGAGGGTACACTGGTGAATACAATGGTGGGTACACTGGTGGGTACGCTGGTGGGTACACTGGTCGTGGTGTGCATGCAGCAGGTGGTGGATTATTGTCAGAAGTAGAGGGGCGGAGGTCAGTAAAGAGTAGGATACCAGTACCAATTATTAACCACAAGAGATCAAGATCTTACAGTGACCCTTTTATATAATAATAATAATAATAATGATAGACTCTTTTGAAAGTAACTTTAAAAATGATTTATACATGGTTCAGTTCTTAATTTATTTACAATGTAGACCAATGTTTGTATTAATTATTAATAACATTTTAATTGATTATTTTATGACAACAAAACACCAAAAACACAAAACACTGCAACTACTAGTAGCTTAGCCTGGCTTAGAGATTCATGAAAGTTGAGAAACAGTTTTAATAAAATGACATTAATGATAGACTAGTTATGGTATACTAAGAAACATCAATAAAATGACAATCATAAATGACAAAAAAGGAAGAAAATAAATGAAATACGAGTCATTAATTATCACAAAAGGTCCTAGTTATTAATAGTTATTAGTAGTTATGACACAGTTAATGAATGGGTGTGGTTTATCTTGAATTAAGATGGAGGAATTGGAGGAGGCAAAAGCTATTGAATAATAATAATAATTAACAATAATTAATAATTAATAATGATTAATACATAATGAATAGATAATCACAGCTGCTAATACACAAGGTAATACAAATCGTTAGATCTAGAAATAAATTTTAGAACACAAATTTAACTAAACATGGGAGACTTAGGAGACCTAGGGCTAAATATGAGAAACCAAAAAGTCTCCTAAACTCCCTCTAGATCTAACAATGATAATAAACCAATCCTAAATGATACAAACATGTGTACATTATACTAAACACAGTATAACTAGGAGATTAAACGAACAGACACTCTCATCAACCATCAGTGAACATAAACTTGTAACACGTCATACCTGTCCTCCTGGCGATGGTAACAGGAACGTTGGTACATTACCAGGTACACTGGGGGGACCATGGGCCGGTCTAGCTATTAATGGATTAGGAGGTACCGGCCCCCTGGGGGGCGTGTCATTAATGGCCAATAATGGCTGGGGTGGCTGAGGAGGTCTAGGGGGGCCGGGGGGCAATAGAGGTTGTCCTGGCATCATGTGAGGGGGCGGAGGGGGCAATATGTGTAGAGGGGGGCCCCCTGGAGGTGGGGGTCCACGAATAAATTGCTCGTGACGATGAAGCCTTTGCTGTATCAGTTCCTGTTCTTTTTGATATTCGGCCAATTCTAAACAAAGAGAAACAGTATAACCTTCTCCTATTGTGGACACTGAAGGACACCTCTATAATGAGGAGGGGTAGTATCAGTCCCAATACAATAGTAATGTGTATTAATGAACCTCTGAAATAAGGACAGGTTCATAATCAGGAGCTAGGGTATTATTGGGTACCAAGGTATCCGGAATAGGCAGGATTGGTTAATAAACTTACGTAGTCTAAGAACATTGGCATGTTCATGATGCTTGAATTGCTCCATCTCAGCCTCCAGCCTCTCCCTCGTCTCCTTTAGTGTTTTATCAAGTTGCTCCTTCGACCTTTGCTCATTATCATATAGCTCCTTGAACCTCATACCAAAATCAAACTCAGGAGTACCTGGTACTGCCATCCTTGGAATAGAATCACGCTCACTAGAAATGAAATCAATATCAGTATCAATATCAGAATCAGTATCAATATGATTCAGTATCAGTAGCTCACTAGTGATATTGAGCTGATTTGTTGATGTCCCTTTCAGCTAATCCGTCATCTTCATTCTCACGCACTAACTCACTCACCACCACTGGGACTGGAGACCTAATGATAGTACAATCCATTAATACAATCAATCAATCAATGTCATGAATATATGACCACTGGTAGCAAAGTCCTTGTACTGTAGTACAAGGGGCATTTAGCTAATTTTGGAGCAACTTTAAAAATTCGTAAAAAATCTAACTTTGATCAGAATCAGCTGAAACTTTCTGCACAACATAAGTACATGCATATATATCAGAAAACGTAATAAAAATTGAGAATTCTCTCCTTTTCAATTTTGGTCAAATTCGGTAAAAATCACTGTACTATAGTACAGGGACATTTAGCCAATTTTGGAGCAACTTTAAAAATTCGTAAAAAATCCAAATTTGATCGGAATCATCTCAAACTTTCTACACAACATATGTTGATGTACATAAGTGTGTATGTACCGCCCCCTCATATAATTACTTTGTCAAGAGGAAGACTCCTTGTCTACACCGGTCAATGGCGGCCATTGCTTGAGTTTTCTTAGCAAAATCAACAAAGCCATGACCGAGGGACTTCCCCCTTTCATCAGTCACTACGACGGCGTGTTCCACTTCTCCAAACGTACCAAAAGCATTGAACAACAACTCATTGGACACTGTCGGGTGGAGATTGGACACTTTTACTGAACAGCTGCTAGCAGCAAACCGAACCCTCAGCTCCCTCCCCTTGAGATTAATACCATTCAATGAACTGATAGCCTTCATGGCTTGATCTCGATACGCCTGAATAATGAATATCATTATACATGAGGGAGGTTATTAAGTACATGCATACATACAATATGAACTTGTTTAATTAAATAATATAATATGATACAGCTGGTAATTATGGAAGGGGCAAAAATTAGATAAATTTGTCACTTTAAACAAATAGCCCAGTCATTTCGCTCCATTGTGGGGGTACTAGTCACTAACATTACCAGGAACTGTACATGTACATGTTTCTCAATGTCGTACCATTCGGGCGAACCCAAAGTTCTTTTCCTTCTCAAGATAAACCCGTGAGACCTCACCATGAGGTGAGAATAGCTCCATCAACTCTTCCTCAGTCATCCCTCGGGGCAGATTACCAATATACACTCGGGCACGATTACCAAACTTCTTTTCTCTACGACCCCCCTCAGGGTCAGGAATATAGTCATTAGATAATGACTCATTATTGTACCCTCCCCCCGGGGGCAGGTCACTCTCAGGGGGGCCAGAGGGGTTCTGGTTAGGAGGAGGAGGAATCAGTCCTTGCTTTCTTTCTTTCCAGGTCCCCGTGGAGTATGGAGAGTGTCTCTGTTTCATTTTCTGACCATTATTCTTATGAGAGGACATCTTCTTGGACAGGAAGGAAGACACGTGGTTAAAATGGCTGACAATTAACTGAAGGGTTAAATATAGAAAGATCACGTGATTCATTTAGTTATTAAACCAGTTTTAATAATTAATTCCAGTTATTAATTAACACGTGTAGCACGATGGCTGACCCTTCTTCTTCAGTATTTCCCTGTGGAGAGTTCTCAGAGTTTAAAGTAGGTTCATTATTAGCACTAGCCTCTCCTTTATATTGTACAGGAGGCGCTGGAGGCCGCTAGGAAGGTTGATGATGGGATTATATACAGATTGAACACCTCAATACCAACCCTCTCCTTTAAGAATGAGATCAGTGCCACTGAGAAATGTAAAGGACTTTATGAAGAAGTAAGAACTAGCACCTGATTATAATCCTACCATTAATGTACTATAATACTGGAGGGAATGTGTAGCTTTTATATTCATTAGTGTTAATCCCTTTCCTTATAAGGTAAATACGGTCCATGCCACAAGAAGGACAGGTATACAGTCGTGTATTGAGTATACTAGTACTAAGATTGGAGCTTTGAGGAGTAGGAGGGACCAGGAGCCGTCCAATGATAAGGTAATGAAGGACCTACGCAATGAACAGACGAAACTAAGACTCATGAAGAATGAACTAACGGTTGAAGATATAGCGAGAGACAGAACTATGAAGGTAATTTAGATATAAAGTTTAGGAGTGAACCAATCCAACTAAAAATGGGATACTTAAGGACCCCTGGGGCTAAATATGAGAGACTAAAAGTCTCCTAAACTCCCTCTAGATCTAACAGTGTATAACAGTCTAACCAGTGATTATTATTTATTATTTTATTTTAAAGGTATTTAAAGAGAGATGCTGGCAATCTTTCAAACCACCCAACTTACAATGACTCAATAGTTATTAACAGTTATTAATGTTATTAGTTATTAATATTGTGTGATTCATAGTCATGATACCAGGTGGTGGGTGTGTTCAATTATGTTTTGGCTCCAGATGAAGCAGCTGTTGCTTCTCCATCAAGTTGTTTTAGTAGTCGATAGAGAGCAGTCGCCTCCTTTATCTTTGAATAATCTAAACAGAAGGTCTGTATCTCCAGTGACTCATCCTGTCAGTGTAATAACAACAACAGCTCATTGTACATTACTGTACCTGTACACTGATGATCTTGTTCCTTATCAGTGACTGGAGGAACACACAAACCTATCGGATTGAAGACATTAATAATGATCCATTCTACATGTACAGTGTAGCCTCTATAATAAGGATCAGTGTGTGGGAGGGTCATTGTTAACATTAGCAGTGGCAGTGGCACTAAGGCCAGCAGCAGGGGCCATAAAACTTGATGTAAAGTGTGGCAATTTTCAGCTTAAAGTGGGTGACAATTTTTAGATCATACCATCTTGAATTGAGTGATAATTTTGATGATAGACTACACTGTACATTAAGTATTGAAGAGGCTACACTGTACACACTACATTAAGTCCTCACTAGTCGGACTAGTCTACTCTGCAATCCTTTATCCTGTACATCTCGACACCTTTGGATACAATTATTGATATAAAGGTGGAGGAACTCTGGGGGTAAGTCAACTGCCTATTAATAATAATAATAATAATAACAATAATAATAATAATAATAACAATAATAACAACAATAATAATAACAACGACCTGTGTTAGCCTGTTCACAACTTCCATCGAGTGTAAATTCATTTCCATATTAACAAGAGAGACAAAGTACCTAGGAGTGGGTTGGTCAGGGTGGGTGTGGTCACTATTAATTACTCTGATATTTGACTTGAGGTAGTCAGTTTCAGTATCGTTTCTATGGCGATCGTTGGATTCTTATCCACCAACTGCGGCAACTACATGTACAGATACATGTATCATTACCATGACAACAAGCTCCACCTACCTTTGCAGGTGTGAGTCCGATATCTTGATGTATGAGTTTAGGGTCGGTCTCCAGGTGATTAATTAAAGTCTAGAGGTGTGAATATAGTAACCATGGTAACCGTTAGGTGCTACCTTTTGTTCCTGTAAACTCAGAACTTCTTGGCAAGCCTTTGCAAATAGTTTCTTTATTTCTAATTAATGCCTTAAGCCCCACCCATTATTACACAATACTTACCATCAGTTCCAGACACTACCATCATACTGTCCCACTGTATTGTATACTGACTCTCAGTCGGGTTCAACCAAACCACCTAACAATAATGATAATAATAATAATAATAATAATAATAATAATAATAATAATAATAATAATGATAATAATAATAATAATAATAATAATAATAATAATAATAATAATAATAATAATAATAATAATAATAATAATGATAATGATAATAATAATAATAATAATAATAATAATAATGATAATAATAATAATAATAATAATAATAATTATTATTATTATTATATGTACATGTAAGTACATGTAAATATATATGCAAAAATCTAATAAAAATCAAGAATTCTCTCCTTTTCAATTTTGGTCAAATTCGGTAAAAATCCCTGTACTATAGTACAGGGACTTTTGTCCGATTTTAGAGCAACTTTAAAAATTTATAAAAAATCCAAACTTGATCCGAATCAGTTCAAACTTTGAACACAACATAAGAACATGTATATGTATCAGAAAACGTAATAAAAATCAAGAATTCTCTTCTTTTCAATTTCAGTGAAATTTCGCAAAAATCACTGTACTATAGTACAGGGACATTTAGCCGATTTTAGAGCAACTTTAAAAATTCATAAAAAATCCAAACTTGATCGGAATCAGTTCAAACTTTGAACACAACATAAGTACATGTATATGCATCAGAAAACGTAATAAAGTAGCCATTTGTCATACTACCATAGGTGTAGCTGTATCTCATTCAGTACAACATGGACAATGTATAATTACTAGATACCTCATCAGTACAAGAGTGAAGCGGAGGTAATGGTCTAATGAAACTAGGCTCAAAGGGTTGCTCCAGCCATGGATCACCAACTATCAATAAAATAAATAAATTAATTAATAAATAATAATTCATGTACACATACCACAGAGCAGGTTCTCAGCAGTAGGAGCTGCAATACTAGCATCAGGATGACTAATAATCAATTAATTAACAATTAATTAATTAATTATAATTAATAATACATTTACTTTGTAATTGAAGTGTCAGGATCAGCTATTACAGTAGATAGACCACAACCACCTTTAGCCACGCCTACTTCACTGCTATCAATGAATGCTTGTATGATGACTGACGGGTCCAATGCTTGGGATACTATGAACTCTGAACTGCAGAGACTAGCCGGAGTCTTCTTGAGTAGCTCACGGAAAGTTTGAGGAGTCAACAGCTGAAGGAGGAAGTTCCTTTCCGTCAGTGAGAGGGTGTGGCCAACTGGGGCCCCGCTCACTGCTCGGTCATCTTCATAGGACGGAGTTAGTAACTCAAGAAAGAAGCCTGTGGGTGTGGTCATAATTAATATTCATTAATTAATTAACTGACTATTGAAAGGGTTTGGTCCATTAGCTTCTCCTCTGTACAGCTCATAAAGGAGGAATAGGCCAGCGATCCTTTGGGCAGCAACTGGTAGCAGGTCTTTCTGTTGGAGCAACAATGTCTGACGATAAAGAAATACCTTATCAGTAATAGACTGCAACTGTTTAAATATGTATAATAGTTAGGAAAATGAAAAGGGTCAATTGTTAGTTGCTTCCTGGAGGATTTTAAGTGGAAATTGCGACCTAACTTAACTTAAAGGTAAAAATTGTCATGTTTGCAACTTTAAAAATTTTTTTGCTGTAATGTAGTCATAATTATAATTATTGGCCTGTCATTCATTCATTCATTGCTCACCAGTGCAGTCCCTACTCTGAAGTGATCGAATCTGCTGAAGTTTCTATGAAATGCTGTGGCAATAGTCTCCAGATTATTAGAGGAGACATTATCAACCGCTAGTATACTGAGAGAGAATGATAGCAATGTAATACAAGGAAAGTTCTTACGTTAATAAGTTTGATAACTCTTTAGTGCTGAGAGCCATCTTGTTTTATAAGATGACCACACCCACCAGACCACACCTCTTTCTTTGTTGTTGTCACACCTACAAAATGGCTTCCAAGAACAAACAACTAAGAAAAGGAAGGAGAATGATTCCTCCATTCACTAGGCTACCCCTGGGCCTCCCGTCAGGTCAATTAATTCCTAAATACTTCAATAACTATTATCCACTACCCTATCAGCCCCTTCACACGAGCCCAGCTCACAATCAGCACTATCCAGCTTACCATTATAATCCTTATCATTACCATACCGGTCCTTTTATTGGTCCTGCTGGACAGTACTTTGATCCTAGTGGATCTTATCCAAGTCCACATCATTCGTACTATCAACCAGAGGTCTCTCCCCAATGGATACAGGCGGCACTACTAAACCCCATGATACCCTATTACCATCATCACCCAACCTCTCTTCAATACCCAATACATAATGTACATTCTGATGATCACTGGGATACTCCTCATATAACAGAACTCTCACCTCCAGACACTCCCCCAGTCCAGTACAGGGCAGTGGGGGTGCAGGCTGATAGGGGGAACACTCCAGGGGAGGCTGAGGCTGATGATGGACTGAGGGAGAGAGTGAAGGGAAAGACATCTAAACTATTGGATCAGGTTTTATTTGAGAAACTCATTGATAGAAGTATAAGAACTGTTAGTCAACCAGAGATTGATAATAAAGTGAAAACTGCATCTATCAATATCATGAACAGTTAGTTCACGTTCATTAGTTATACATTATCATTTAATTCATTTTAGAATTAATATTTGAAGAGCTATTGAGAAGAATAGCCTCCACTGACTAAGACATTACACATTCATGTACAATACTTAATGTACTGCATGTGTTGCTACAGGTATCTCTATACATTTCTATCACTTTATTCTGTGTCATTATTACATCACGGAAAATTTAAAGATCCACCTCAACTCAATTATGCGTATCATACCAAATAAGGAGACTGTTTTAAATTGTTATTTGATATTCTCTTTTGTTATTATAACCTCTCACTAATAGCATAACAAACCTGAGGTGTGTACAAGTCATTTCCTCTAGCTTAAGCTAATGTTCCATTCACTACTGATATTCCTCTGGTATAACAATTATTACATTTAATACCTTAATTCCTTTATAATAATATACCCATACATGCTGCAACTAAAAGTAATCCTTTTTATTGTTATAGAAACAGTTCATTGATGTATTATTATATGCTTCTGTTGTTATTATCATTATTGTCACAACACTGGAAATGTTTATTTCCTTTTTAACTGATTCCACTGTCCCTTTACTTGTGTCATGGAACTATGGAAATACACCCAATCATTATAACAATAAGAAATGATGTACATTTCATTTCATTATATTAGACCAATCACTCACTTTCAGGTGCAGCTAGCATTAAGTGTTACTGTTAAGTCTTACAGTTTAGATAGTTAATATCCACAGAAAGGGAGGGACTGCAGGGGGAATACCATGCACTGGTCATAATGAGTAATGGTTAGTGA